GTATAGATATAAGTATAAAACTTGAGCACTGTGGTAGAGTATAACTCCATTATAGATAAGATTATATTTTGATAAATCATAGAGTGTTATACAGTAATATTAACTGATGCGACCACGTTTCGAGCACAATTTATTACCACTCATAATCATATCAAGGTATTCACTCACACAACTATTCGCTTCATCTTTATACATGAGTAAAACTGATGATTAGACATTTAAATAAAATCAGTAATATAAGATAATACTGAGTTTTTTCTCTCTAAATTACTTGTCTTCGTGGTATCAACTATTCTTACCTTAGCTAGATTTTTATGTTCTGATAATCTGACTACTCCTGATCTACTAGTTTGACTGATCTATGGGGTGCCACCAACAATTATACATCTCATCCAACAGCTGTACGACAATGCTGCATGCCAAGTAATCCACAACAGGAAACTTACGGAGTCCTTCGAAGTGAGGACAGGAGTAAGACAAGCTGACTGCCTACTATCACCAATGATTTTCCTGATTGCAGTAGATTGGATAATGCGACAAACAGTGGGCAATGAGGAAACAGGCATAAAATGGACTAACACAAAAAAAGAACTTGTAGGATCTGGACTTCGCCGATGATATATGTGTGATTTCCCACAAACTGAAAGATATGCAAGCCAAAAGCAACAAGTTGGCAGAAGAAGCATCCAGAGAAGATAGGACTTCAGGTGAACATAGAGAAAACAAAGGTAATGAAAATTCCTGGACAAGAACAACAACAACAGACAACGATCAGCATAAATGGGAGGAACCTGAAAGAAACAACCTCTTTTATCTACCTTGTAAGCATCGTTTCAACTACAGGCAGGCGGAACTGACGAGGATATCAAAGCAAGAATCGGAAAAGTATGACAAGCTTTCACTACTCTCAAGTCTGTGTGGAGGTCAACAGCGCTCAGCATGATGAATAAGATCCGGATTTTCAACTCCAATCTGAAGTCAGTGCTACTATACGGATCAGAGACTTGAACTGTGCGTTATAAAGAGCATCTCAAACAAACTACACACTTTCATTAACAGTTGTCTTCGCTCAATACTACTCAAGGTCGGATGGCCGGCCAGAAAAAATCAGCTGCAGGGAGGGATCTCTGGGAGCGAACCAACCAGGAACCGATTGTGAAACAAATAAGAAGAAAGAAATAGGGGTGGATTGGCCATACTCTAAGGAAGCCATCAAGTGACATCACTAGACAAGCCATTGCTCGAGTGGAACCCGAAAGGGAAGCGGCGAGTTGGTCGTCAGTGCAAGGGTGACTTGGAGGAGAATGAAAACGTGTGGGCAGACTTGGAGCCAGGTGAAAACTCTACCAGAGAACCGAACGCAATGGAGACGCACGACTGAAGCCCTATGTTCCTCTAGGAATTAAAGGAAAAAATAATAATAATAGAAGATATAGTCGTAGGATAAAATAAAGTTGAAATGTTCAGAAGCCTATGGCAACTGAATAAAGTTGGGGTTTGGCAGGCCTTGAATGCAACACTCTAGAAGATCTGGACTTGACGGATGATTTATATTTCACTTCACACAAACTAGAAGACCTATCAGTGAAGATCAATAAGTTGACAGAAGAGGCATCAAAGGAAGAACTTCAGGTGAACGTACAGTAGACGGATGGGATAAAGATAACCAACCAACCAACAAGAACAACAAGCACCAATCACTATCAACCGGATACATCTAAAGGAATTATCGTTTGAAATACTGGTGGGACACATGTGGGTGTCAAAGCACAGAGAGGAGAAACTAGACAAACTTTACTACTCCGAAACCAGTGTGGCAATGTACTATACTCAGTATAAAGAACACGATCCGAATTTTTTCAGCACTAATGTCAAAGCAATGTTTCTATATATTTATAGTCCAGAGACTTAAAGCATGCTTCACCAAAAGGATTTCCAACAAACTACCCACCTTCAACAACAGGGGTGTCTTTGCTGGATATTGAAGATCAAATGGCCAGAGATAAAGAATAAGCAAAAACGAGCTCTCGAAACTATTCAAGCAGTGGAGGTGGATCGCTGAACGATATCACACGCCAAGCAGGTCTTCGAGTTCTACTCGAATAGGAAGCGAACAGCTGTGTGTGGAGATTTCACAGTTAGCTGGCAAAAAACTTCAGAGAACCGACTGAAATGTCAGTGTGCTTCTGAAGCCTTACTATGTTCCACTCGGAACCCAAGCGAACAATAATTGCAGTCGTCAATATGTATTTTATTGTGAGGGAATCACATCCGTAAGCCGAAATGAAGGTTATCTGTGGTGGGTTTAGTCAGTTCGGCAACAACCGGAAGAATGTTTCAGTATTCTTTTATAACCATATAATTCTACAACAGAAATGATTGATATTAAATCAGAAAATATCATGAAAAACCTTCATTTTCTTCAGGTAAAAAATAACTACAAATTTCAATATATATACATATATATATATTTGTGCATGCAACGATCCTAAAGACAAGGATAAATGTCTTGCTTTCCATGAAACCACCACTCTGAGTACCAGCACTCAAATTACCGAAATTCCCAGTTGTACACTGAACACTGAGCATGCAGTACCATCCGAAAGTAAAAATTGGTGCAGTAACATAAATAATAATTTTTGAAAAAAAATAAAATAAAAACTATCACCAAAACAATCAGTGGAATTTTTTTTCGCTGTTCCCCTCTTCCCTAATAATATCTGTTTATAAGATGTGTTAGTAAGCATGCATATATATTTATGTATTTTATTGGTTTATAATAGTGTTCAAAATGACAACAACACTCATTCATATAACTTTTGTAAAACGAAACCTGAGAGGTTCGCAGTGACATTAAAACCTGTTTGCTGGTTGTATATCTATCTTAGTTCGTTTGCCGAGAGAGGGGTGCGTGTTTGTGTGAGAGAGACTTTAAATCGAAATCAGTGAACAGCTAGTGCACTACAGGTCACTTCAGCTGTCATCCTTCTACACGACAAAATCATCTAGATGATATCTGTACGTGATAGAAAGTGATGCTAGGGATGATGGTGGTTGATACATTAGAATTTATGAATTATTTTGTGTTGACACCTCTCCTAATGAACATGTATATACCTTCTATCGCCTGTACTTTGCAGTCTTCTTCTTATCTTCACACATATCTACGATAAACAGAGCTGACAGAAAAAACTCAGTTGAAGTCCTACACATACTGGCAGTGTCAGAGTAACTCTATTAGCCTAATTAACGAATTATGCACTTAAAATGAACAACCTCCTCAGTAAAGTGTGATTACACTGTTGTCTTTTGCAGTCTGTGCACACATACACACACAAATACAGACACACACACGCACACACACGAATACACTGACAACTTGTCAACTAATAATAATAATAATAATAAAGTGCTCTCCAAATACTACACAATGTTGTTTAGTGTTTTACTCAAAGGAAAAGAAACAGACAACGGAAATCACACAACATCTCTTTTTTTCGGTGCATGTGTAAAAATCCCTTACTTTCATTCAGAATACCTTGAGCACCCTGTGTTATTAAAATATTTAAACAAATAATCATCAATGTGCGTGAAACAGTTTATAGCAACAAAAAAAAATAAAGATGACAGTTTAGAAATTAACCTGATGTCATATATACTACTGCTGAGCGACAAACGTAAGTAGTTGGACACCAGCCACATCAACTAGTAAGTAGTGCTTGCTAGCCGGATAGAAGTGATCTCTATATAGTCCCAAACTAGGACGAAACAACTGTCCAGTACTCCCTGCAGGTTTTCCAATGGTTCTCTAACCAATGTCAGCTCATGATGAAATCCTGTAACCAATCAACCAAATCCCTACAAACCAATACTTGAAGTTTTTTAGCTGTTCTTTTACGAAGAAATAAAATGTGGGTCATATAAGCATCAGTGACATAAGCACCAGTGGGACGTGTGCTACTCATAAGATTTATCAGTAATATATAAAGAGACGTTCATCGGCACAAAAGCATCAAATGGCAGGCAGATAAATTTGATTTAATCATGTGCTGAGATGAGTTAAAGTACCATTGAAAAACCTGCAGGGAGTACTGGACAGTTGTTTCGTCCCAGTTTGGGACCTTTCATCAGTACGCACCCACCGGGGTTCGAATCCAGGACATTTTGGTTACAAGCTGAGCTCGTAGACCATTAAGCCTACTATGACACGATGCAATGGCCAGTTCATGATGAAATCCTCCAACCAATCAAACAAGATCCCTACAAGACCAATACTTGAAGATAGATTTGATGTCAGAGAAATTCAATTAAATGAAATAAATCCACAAGTAGCACAACATGGAAGATTCGTGCAAATGGTGCGTTGAAGTTGAACTGTCTATAATTTGATTATATAGAGATATTAAATTGCAGATAAACATTCCTCGACCAAGTCTTTCGTCTTCTACCATTACAACAGTTGTTACACTATAAAGAGAGACTCTTGAATATTTGTCAAGAGTTGATCCTATGCGACTTTCAGTAATAGAAAATACTTAGAGTTTAAATAAGTGTCTTTAACAATAACTATTGCAGACCTTTATCAACAACTGTCTTCGTTCTATACTGAAGATCAGATGGCCGGAAAGAACCACCAACGAGAAACTATGGGAACAAACAAAACAAGAACCAATCGCTCAACAAATATGCAGGAGAAAGTGGAGATGGATTGGACACTCGCTGAGGAGGCCGCTGGGTGACATCGCGCGTCAGGCCATAGCTCGAGTGGAACCTGAAAGGGAAGTGGCGAGTGGGACGTCCAAGTGTGGGTGACATGGAGGAGATGGTGTGAAGAGGAGTTGAAATAGTATGGACTAACATGGATGCAAGTGAAAAGTACAGCAGAAGACAGAAGCAAGTGGAGACGTGCTGCTGAAGCCCTATGTTCCACTAGGAACCCAAGGAAACAATAATAATAATAATTGCCAATATGATCAATATAATGAATGATTAAAAGTTACCTGTCCGGAGGCTAGATCAGCATGACTAGCATAAGGCGTTACACTGTTCCCTGGATTATTACTCCCAACAGTTAGATCACTGCTATTCATCACACGATTACTTCCATATATCATGTTATTACGATCAATTCGATTGGACAGACAGGGTCGAGGTGGTTGGCGTTCAACTTTCTGGTTTTCTTGTTTTCTATGAGAAAATAACGTTGGAAAAAAACAAAGCAAAACAAAAAATGCTTATTGTAAATAATTTATAAGGAAAGGAGACAAAGTTCATATTCTTATAGTTTTTAAAATCATATTAGTTGTATCACTGTTTACTTTTTGATGAACACAGTCCATTCATGTGACTAGATGAAACGACAGTCTAAATCGCAATGCTGATTTTAATCTAATACGATGATGGCTGAAGCTAAAACAGAAGCCAAGGTCATAATAGGTTGAAATCCAACTACCGTTCTGATTCTGAAGAATGTGCACAGTCAGTACAGAAAATCTGGATTTTGTTTCTGGAGGTGACCTGCTGTAGAATGCTAGCCATCCAGGCATGTGGACCATGGTTCGATCCCCAGCCACCGACGCACTCCTTTACCTCGTTGAGTCAGTAATAAGACTGGTAAAGAGGGGGTGGGGTTGGGCATGATGCCAGCAACCCCATGCTGCAAAAATAAACACGACTACTACCGGAACTTCAAAGCCCAAGAAGCTTGAAGACCTATTTTCAACTAGGCACTGTTTTATAAAAGTAATGAGAGGCTTGATTTGAATCTTTTTTAAATAACATATATTTGCGTACCCCGTTTAGCAACAACTATTCATTATAACGAACATTTGTATTGAAGAGGCTTGATGGTGTGTAATGTGTCAAACTATCATACTGGTACGTTAATCTAAGCTGTTAAAATGAGAAATAGAAATGTCAAAAAGGGTCAAAGAACACTATCCAGCGTGGCTGCAGAAAGGAAGTAATGGCTGCATAAGGAGTGCAATAATAGAACACCTCGTCAACACTGATCATTCCATCTCAACAAACGCCCCCTTCAAAGTAATCTACAAAGCGAAGAACAACCTTCCAAAGACAGTACGATGCCGTCTTCTTTGCATCACTAGAGGAACCAGAACTGTGCATACAAAAGAAAATTATTCAACCACTTCTACTCCCATGGTAACAACCGTGTTGATTTGACTTAACTTTTCTTTGTTTGTTTGTTTGGTTGATTTGACTTAACTTTTGTTTGTATGCTTATTTTTCTACTTAAAACCCTTGTGTAATTCCGTATATTTTGATTCCATGTGCACCCTGAGCACAATAATTTCATCAAACTATTCATGGTGTTATTACGTAACTCTTCTTTAACAATCGTTTGTGACAACTCATCACTTTTGTTACTACTCTCTTATATCATCATCCAATTCATCTGAACTTACTAATTGTATTTTCGTTTGACAAATTTGATGTACACACACATACAAAACAACCATATATATTTGCGATTGTACAGCTATGAAAATGAATTCGCCGAAAGGAGACTCTTCGCTGAACTACTTGTCTTCTGTCTATTAATGTTCGAATGGGAATTTTTCATGAAAGAAATAGATTTGTTTAGTGATACGAAGGCCATCCTCAGGTGTTTAGTGGAGTGATTTAGCCGAAGGTACTCAAATAAATTCCACTGTTTAGCAACATGTCGAGCTAATTGAGGTGTTGTACAACCTCCAGCTGGTTGACTCAGTGCTAAATTATGATTATTATTACCATTATTATTCCCTTGGGTTCCGAGTGGAACATATACGGTTTCAACAACACATCTCCAGTTTCTTCTATTCTCTGCTGTCCTTTTCACCTGGGTCCGCGATTGCTCGTCATCTCTCATCTCTTGCGCCTCGCCACACGATCTCCACCATGTCACCCTGGGACTCTTGTACCAATAAGCTACCACATTTGAATTAGTAAAAACCAAAGTCGATATATTAGCTATAAGTACCGTCTTTTATGCTGGCGTCATACGCATTTTCTTTAAATTCTTTCTTATCAGATAATCATATCCTCTCCTTCTCCTCCTGCTTCCTTCTTCTTAGCTAAACTTTTTCCATATATATAATATCTCTACTAGACGAAGTTAATGCTTAGATTGTGATGACTGAATGACACGGATGTTTGAGATACTGCACCATGTTGCTGGCTCACATACTATGTGGATGAGAAGAAACCTTTGCGTAATCAGTGTTATAAGAAGTACCCCTCCCCAATATATTTTTCAGCAAAATAGCCATGATGATTCTGGAGGTGAATATTCGACAGGATATGCTAATTCCATATTAGTTTGTTTATTAGATATATCACACACAGTGAGTGAAACAGTATTAGTATTAACTGGATGACAATGTTATAATTACACGAATTCGAAACTTGAGATTTATAGTTTTCTTTGTTCTCTTCTATTTGTTGTCGTTGGTGTAGTAGAATTTTCCAGATATCTCTGTGGATAGGTGTTGAATCATTCCTATTACACGTATTCCCTCTCAGTTGACTCGACAAAAATAGCTTCCGTTAAAACTTCCGTTTTAAAACTGTCATCCTATCCCATTCACCCTTTTGTATAGTTGTGTATAATTGCATGTAGTGCTATAGCTGAAGTACTCCCTAAATTTCTTATCTTATTTGGGTCAGCCAATCTAGGTTTTGCTAGAACCTCTGGAGCCTTTAAAACAAAACACTTTAGTTTATCTAATACCCTGCTGGAATGATTGTCAGGTCAAATAAACAGGTCAAACTAGTAGAACAGGGGCAGTCAGACTAGCAGAACATAAAAACCTACATGCAGTTACACACAACCATAAAATAGGATGGATGGGATAAGATGACACTTTTAAAATCTAGTGTCAAAGAGTGGAGGGAGAGATTGATAACAGGAGCTTTGTTTATCGAATCAACTACAAGCACGTGCATTAGGAATGATTCAACACCTGTCCTGGATATCTGGAAAATTCTACTAACCCAACGACGACAAATAGGAAAGAACAAAGAAAACTATGAAACTCAAGTTTCGAAGTCGTGTGATTATAATTGATGAAATGATTATGAACAAATAAATTGTGTTCGAAACATTGTCATCCAGTAAATAATACTGTTTCACTCACTGTGTGATACATCTAATAAACAGACTAATATGGAATTACTTACTACCAACAGAGTGCCCAAGTTTTACACACATATTAATAGGATATGCTAAGTTAAGTCAGTCAGATGTCCACCCCAAGATTTACTTATCAAACGATTTGATACATTTGTCCAAAAGACACCAACTTCAATAATTATCCTCTAAAGAAAAAAAATGTTTCCTAGCAAAGAGGAAAGGTTGAGTTTTAGTCAAATGTCGAAAAACAATACTTAAATCAAGCACAACAAAGAGATAAATGCTGTCTCAATGACCAGATGACACTTAGTACTCCGGGAATGTTTGCACCAATTGAAGTATTCTGTTTACTAAATTTCCTTGTTTTTTTCATGTGGGGTGAATTAAATTACGCATTGACTGAATTCTTGGGTGTGTCGCTTAACTAGACGCAATTGCCAAATGGGAGGTGGATAGATAATTTGCTGAATAGTCACCGGAAAAGACAAAAATCAATTAACTTTGGAGTCAGAAAATTGGTAGATTAGAAAGAAAGAAAACAGAAGAGAATTCCACTACTATTATGAATTTGTTAGTAAAAACAAAACAGTTAGGAGAATTCCAGCTTTCTTCACCTGGTAAGTTACAAAATCATGCAACAATTAAATACGTTTTCAGTAAAAAAAAAAAGCTGATCATCTTCAACGATAGGATTTAACAGAAAATAAAGGCTGGGGTTTTGCTTTCCACAGAGAGAAATAGAAGGCTACATAGTTATGTTTTCTCCTGTTGTCGAACATTCTTCAGAGGTAATTTTAAAATAAAACGGATAAAAGTGAGTGTGTTAATATTTGTGTGAAACCTGGGCATATTAATCTAGTTATCAGATATACCATACAGTCAGTGAAACAGTATTATTTCTCAGATGACTAGGTTTCCAACACAATTTATTGTGGTTCATGAGCATATCAGTTATAATCAACCACACAACTTCCAATCTTTCGTTTTATAGTTTTCTTTGTCCTCTCCGATTCATCGTCGTAGAAGTAGTGGAATTTTCCAGATGTCCATGTGGACACGTGTTGAATCATTCCCACTACACGTAATGTCTCTCAGTTGATTCGATGAATAACACTCCCATCATCATTCCTGCTGCCTCCACTCTGTTACATTCGATCCTAAGACTGTCATCTTTTCCCATCCTCCTATATTTAATGGTTGTGTGCAATTGCGTGTAGGGAGTACTACAGCTGAACTATTCTCCAGATTTGTTATCTTTGTTTAGGGTCTGACTGACCTAGTTCTCCTATAGTCTAACTTATATATTTGACCTGACAATCATTCCAGGAGGCTATTAGATAAACTGAATTGTTTTGTTTTCTTTAATTGGCTGCACTCCACAGGATCCTTCAACCGACAAAGTTTGTTTCCAGTCGAGTTTGTGAGTGACTGAATGCCAGTCACTTTTATTCCTGTCTGCATTGTTAAGAACTCTGTGGCGTATGGTTTTCGAGGTTCCATCTTTGCATGCAAGTACTACTGCAGATTTAAATCGTTTATTGTTGGCGTTGTCATTATTCTGTGCGTGTTTGACACGCATGTCCTCATCAAAACTATTAATATTATTATCACCATTATCACTACAATTAATTTTAATTTTTACATTTTTCTACATACTTCGTGAGTAATTAATTAATCCGGGTAATTATTAAGTTTCAAAGCTTCTCTTATATACCTGACTTCTTGTCCTAGATCTGCTTTGGTACAGTCTAGCTTTTGTGCCTTATCGCTCAAAAGTGAGTGTGTTCAAGCACTTTTCATTTACTCAGAATGTCTGTCTGTCTACAAGCATAATTCCCAGTGCAATTTCCCATCTATGTGTCGGTGGCATAGTGGTTAGGACGCTCGCCAACCATGCACATGGTCTGGGGTTCGATCCGCGGCCGACTCACTCCTTTACTTCTCTAAGCCATTAATAAAAAAGCTGGTGCAGAGGAAAGTTTGGGCATGAGGCTAGCAACCACATCCTGTAAAAATAAACACTGCTACAGAAACTTCAAGCCTCTAACTTGAA